TAGTCAAGTAGTCGTCTATAAGTGTTGTTATATTTTATTGAATTGACTGAATGGGAGAGAGAGAGAGAGAGAGAGAGAGAGAGAGAGAGAAATAATTTTTACTTAGGAATCGACTTCGAGTCAAGTCTTAGAAAAATGTCAAAAGTTTAGAAAAACTCTTAACTCTTTTCACATGATTTCTACTGACAATTGGTATTAAATGTCAAAGAATTAAGAAATAAATTTTTTTTATTTTGCTAACAATTTTTTGTCTTATTCTCTGAACAGTTATTGAGGTTTTTATTGAGTTTTATATACAGTTGTGTTTGTATTATATAATAATAATTATTATTTTTATCACAAAACTACTGTCAAAAACTCACTGAACCGTTGAGTCAAATATTATTAAAAAACTTTATAATAATAAAGAGATAAAGAATTTGTTCACAAAATATGACAGTATGTATCAGAATATAGCTCTCTCTCTCTCTCTCTCTCTCTCTCTCACACACACACACACACACACACATAAAAAATAATTTAAATAAACGTATGATTGTTGTCTATTTGATGGGCCAATCATAAGATTAGGAAATGGATTAAATTTATGAAAAAATACTTTGCTCATATAGATTATAATTGAGTACAAGATTTTGTGTTTTATAAATTCGTATCCCGAAAAACACTTGAATAATAAAAAAGTGAAATAAAATTTTTAACAAAATTAACTTATTTGATGTGTCTGTGCAATGTTGGGGGCATTCAATAAGAACTTATATTATATAATAAAACGAAACTAACCACATTATCTTTTGAATACAGATAATGTTTTATAAAAGCATCCCTTCTCACATACCTTACCGGTAAGTAAGTATTGTACAATTTGTAACTAAAAAACTCGTTGTAAGTTTCCCACAAATTAATTTAACTGAAAAATTTTGAAAACTATTTATAGCTATAAATACACAGAGAATAAGACAATTATATGAGGCATAGGTTGGAGTGGTTTAAGTCATGCCTTAATTTCCGGCATTCATTTCCGACTCACTTTTGCTTTTTCTTATTATAGTTATAGTTATTATTATTTATAATAATATTATATAACTTATGTTTTGTGTGCGAAATATAAACTCATAAAACCGTTTCGGAATCTTATAGACAATGAGAGTGAGTGAGTGAGTGAGTGAGTGAGTGAGTGAGTGAGTGAGTGAGAGAGAGAGAGAGAGACCAGAATTGAAGCAAAAACTAAATAAATAAGAAAATAAAGAGTGAAAACCTTATCATAACTCTTATGATGTGTATATGTCTTATACTGTGAGTGACATCACAACCACCACTGCTTTACTAAACTATTATATTATATCTGATTATTTGTGAGAGTGAGTGAGTGAGTGAGAGAGTGAGTGAGAGTGAGAGAGGGAGAGAGACTTAAGAGAGTGGAAGAGTGCAGTAACTTTAGCTTTAATTAGAAATAAGAGACCATAAAATGGTTGATCCTTTCGATTAAAAACATAGAGCACTGGTATATAAGGCATCAAAAGGCATCGCCAAAGACTTAAAGTGAGAAAAGTATTCGCTCTCTCTCTTTCTCTCCCTCTCTCTCTCTCTCTCTCTCGCTCTCTCTCTCTCGCTCTCTCTCTCTCTCATCCCTTATCTCAACTCTCGTTTCTCAACTGCCGGTGTCTTATCACAGAAGTTATTATATAATTCGCACACATTTTTCATAATTAGATTACAGTTCCCTCTCATACTGTATTTGACAGACAGAGCACAACACAACACAACAACGACTGAGAAATTTTTTATTGCAAAATATTTATCATAATAAAAAATGCAAACTTTTTCCTGAAAGTGATTTTCATGGCATGTATGGTCTCAAAATCGATAAATTCTTTTAACATGAAATCAAAAACACCGATTCTGTGATTCTGTGCCATATATTATGGGCACTGTTTAAGCCGGGATTTATCAGTCATTAACGTATAATACACTGTTATTATACATACATATAAACGTGAAATTAAATTAAAAATCTCCTAAACGCCATACCTGACTATAGTATTATGTATAAAATTAATTTTAGTATATAATTATCATTAACCTGTAATACCTATTCAGCGATTTTGAGCCTAAAATGCAATTTTTCTCAAACAAATTCTGTGTTTTATGTGTATAATACTTATGCATAAATATTATAATAACCAAAAAACACACACATTTTCAGTCATGCAATCATTTGCCATATAGTTTTATTGATGATATAAAATGATTTTAAAGGGATTAGTATATTGTAGTGAATTTGTGAAGTGAGGGAGAGGGCTACGGAAAAGCCATTATTTTTATTGAGTGACAAACTTTTTTAAACTCTCAATTCCCCTACAGATTTAATTTATTATTGACTGCAAGTGTATATTATATTAAATTTTTAAAGTGTATTAAAATATTTGTCGGCAATAAAAAAAGAGACTTTTCTTACGTGAGTAGATACCGGCGCTCATAATACTGGGCCATATTGTATTTATTGTGTTATACTGTACTATATATAGTGTGTGATATAATATCTATATCTTATATAAATATATTTAATAGTATTATGTGTTTGAATGATATATCTTGGAAAATACTAGTATTGACAGCTCTCTCTCTCTCTCTCTCTCTCACTCACTCACTCACTCACTCACTCATACAATACAATAGCCATATGACTAAAAAGAGTTTACTTTTCATAGCATTATATAAAAACTTATTTATAAATAGCATTCATTTGAAGTCATTTTTCAAAAGTTAAGTTTAAAGAATCGAGAATTAAATTCTTGACATAAGATATATATATTTTCTTTCACTATACTGTATATGTGTTTAGAGGATACAAAATAATGGCTTTTGTTTTATAAATATAACAAATATAGTGAGTTATATACAAAAGAAAAAGTTATCACGTTTTAAAATCAATTAATCCGGGACATTATAATAATACAGCTATTAAAATATTTTGCGCAAAAAATTCAATTCATTTGTAATTAAAGTCAATAAAGTTTTTTTGTTATCATATATTGCAGTACAAAAGGCTCGGAAAATGTTTTTTACACATCAAAAGGGATTTTAAATCCCAATTCAGGTCTTATTTTAAGCGCAAAATGTATTAAACAAATAGTTTTGATGGAGTTTTTTCAGTCGACTATATATAGTATATATATATTATATACGCTCTATGAGTGCTATAAATAGATAGGAATTACTTTTAAAAATTTTATTTTATTTAATACTAGTAGTCTTGTAATTATTAAGAGCACAGGTATGCTGATTAGTGAACCCTATGATAGAATTTTTAATTAAATTTATCATTATATCAATATTAAAATAATATTCTTATTATGCACATATATTGTGTTATTATACATAATATTTATAATTAAAATTATAATAAATTCTATTGTTAAGTTTCTAATTATATTATGTTGCTGATTTATATAGATAGGTATTGTATCGTATATCACGTGCCTCCCTGTGCCACACAAATCTATTTCACACATACAAATTGATAGGGATTTAGGCACTCAATATAAGGCGATACCCGTATTACCAGTACATTTAAGTTGCTGCTATTTTTTATGCCACCAATTCTTTGCACTAATAAAATCTCTCTCTATCCCTCGCACTGGCACTCCCGGGCCCACACACATACAGTTCCCATACAGTAAACCCATTCTCTTTTGTATACACTTTATATATGTTTTATTTGTATTTTGTAATTCTGTATGTATTGTACGGTTAGGCACAGAATCTCGCGATGTATTAGCAGTCAATACCTAACACTCATAATCATATATAAAACTTTATTTTTCATTTCATTTGCATTTCATTAGCCTTTCCGCGAAGAGTTATACCCCAAGTATTTCATAACTTATTGAAAATAATTTTATTTAATTGAGTAAATCTTTTGGGAATACCACTAATAAATCGTATTATGTTTTTAGTTAATCAAGAATTCTTGGATATATTTACCCAAATGTAAAATATGCTTAACATTGAGCGCATAATTGTTTAATATAGATGTTATATTATTTTAAGAAATATTATTAAGCTTTCATAGCTTTCCGCCTAAATATCACTTCTGTTTGCTGTCAATCATACGAAACATTTTTATTTATAAATATAAAATATATTTCTATTAACTCACAAAATATACAGTATAATATGAATTTTATGAATTTATGGCGTAAAATAGTAATTGCTATAAAATAATAAGTTTATAGATTGAGAGTGAATGTAAGGCTGAATGTGTATAATATTTTAGCGAAAGTCTAATTTTTCCAGAAAAAAACATACACAACAAAAATAGTATGGGAAAGGGAGACAAAAAATGTATGTTCTCTCGAAACACATACACAAAAAATTGTAAACATATTATGAAAAAGCGAAATGTATTTATGTGTGTTTTTTCAAAGTCTACGCGAATAATAGACAAAAATCTAACGGATATCTACACAAAAACACATATAGCCTTAAAAGCAATGCACAGAATATTCTGTGTGTCTCTCTCTCTCTCTCTGTGAATGTTATTTGTTTTTCGCATGTTTTCTGTTTTATTCGTTTGTAATAATCAATAGCTGTTTGAGTGATTGAAATCGTATTTAAACGCAAAATATAAGCAAAAACCATTTATTTAAACATTTGCTTTTGTCGTCGTTATTGTAATATAAATGCTTTTCACTATATTTACAAAACATATCATAATTATAAATCATATCATAAATCAGTTTTATTAAACAAAAAGCCCATAATTATAGGCAAGAATCGAATGTCAATAATAAGTTATTTGGCATTTGAATAGTACTAACAGAATATTCTTTAGGGAATCATATTAACTAATAACCAGAATAGAGGTCATTATATAAAGTACCGGTACGTCCGGTGTATAATATGATACATCACTAACAATGACCAATCTAATACAAACCACCCTGATCAAGTAAATAACCTCAAAGATAAAATAGCGCGCAAAAATGACCAAGTAACACTCACCCTAAGGTGGTCATGGTGACAATGGTGTACCAGAACGCGGCGGGAATGCTGGTGAAGGTGGTGCCGCCGACATTCTTCTCGGCGTAGAACATAACGGTGGCGAATATGATGATAGCCATGGCCAGGGAGAAGACCAGGAACCCGAGCTCACTGGCGCACGACTTCAATGTGTAGCCCAGTATGCGGAGGCCCTGCGAGTGTCGCGAGAATTTGAATATACGAAACACACGGAACACACGGAGGGTGACAAAGGCGCCCGACACGTCGTCATTGTCCTTGATGAATAATCCGATGTAATAGGGCATTATGGCCACCACGTCGATGATGGACATGACGGAGCGCATGAACTTGCACCGGAAGGGCGCGGCGTATAGTCTGAGCATATACTCGGCCGAGAAAATCATGACACAGGCGGTGTCCAGGCAGAAAAAGGCCACCTTGAACGTGTCGCCGCAGCTGATTTTGTTCTCGGGGTTGCCCTCCTTGTGTGTGCAAGGTACTGTCTCGACCACATTGGCCACGACACTGACCGCTATGAAAAACCCGGTCACGTAGTAGAAGACCAGGGCAGCCGTACTCGTGTGCGGGTTCTCGAACGCCCGCCACATCTGCTGCCTAACCGTCCCTTTCGGGGCGTCCTTCTTGTTCTCGCCGTCGGACAGCCGGTCGTCGAGCATCCGCTCGGCGTTCTCCCGCTTCCGGTCCCTATAGTCCTCATAACAACAGTCGCCGATCACGTCGGGTATGATCCCGAAAAAGGCCAGTTCCTCGTCGTACGACATGAGACACTCGTGTTTGGGGTAATGGAGTTTACCGGTGCGGTAGTAGTTGAGTATGTGTCGGAATATGTCGGGGTCTCTGTCGAAGAAGTACTCCTTGGACTCCTCGTCGAAAAAGAATTCGCGTTCATTGGATCCGAGGAGAGTGTCAGGGTACTTCTCGACCGTGTTTCGCCACGTCTCGAATCGGCGACCGCTCACGTTGATCACGAACTTCTCGTCCTCCCGGCGCCGCGACTGCCGCGATATCGGCGGCGCCGGCAGCGGGTTGTTGGCGATGGGCACCCAACCGATGGCCGCCGCTCTGGCGAACGGCAACCACGCGGCCACCGATGCCATTGTGATGCCGGTGCCGCGAGAGCACTACTCACTAGTTTCACTAATTCACTACAAATACACCACTAGTACACTAAGTCGTGGGCATATATCCCGGTGCGACTATGGGGAAAGGGATACCGGCGCGCTCTTGGAATACCGGTAGTTATCAATGAATATACTTATTATTATTATTAGGAATATTCTGTGTTTGTGTGTCTCAGGAATATACAGAATATGCTATATATATGCGTTATATATATCTATTTAAACGTGTAATTATTTATCACTTTTGAAAGCTACCAGTGCTGACACGACTGTTTCGCTACAACTGGTAGTGAGAGTGCACTCGGAGTTCATCTCTCAAAATAAAGAGACGCTTGGAATGCGTTTTCTGCGAAACACAAACTCCCGGCGCTCTCTCCCACTGAACGGCACAAACATGACTGCGAGTGTCTGTCTATGTGTGCGCTCGCGAACCGCAAGTATCCAAATGGTCTCAACAGTACATCCATAGTGTGTTGTCAGCGCCAGAGTGTACGTACGTCAGCGCCAGTTCCTATGACTACAGTTTGGGAACACATACTGAACAGCTCTCTCTCTCTCTCTCTCTCTCGCGACCTCCCGGTGCCCCAGAAATTCTTGCACAAGTAGTACATCCAGAATATGCTGAATGTCTTTCTAATTTCGCTTATTTTCTATGCATTCGTTGCACTCGTATTTTAGTAGCAATTTTCACACACTTATGCAATTCCCCGTCCAATGAATACCAACCCCCGCGATCCCATGAGCCGCACTTTTCGGCGACTCCCTGACCTCCATGTCCACCATAGACCTGATAGACCATTAATAACGCCATTCCCTCGCGAAGTCCTTAACCCCATTGGATGGCAATATGAATGAAACAAATGATTTCCATTTCTAATATAATATTAAGAATAATATGCTTTTGTATTGAAAATAATATATATTTTTGTTTTCAGTTTTTGTTTTGATTTATACGTTGGCCTTAAAGATGAAAAATTATTGCCTTTACTTACCATTAGTTTGTGTGTCTCCGGAATATTACATAATATATAATATTATCATATTATACTAAAATTTTCTTGAGTTTTAGCCCCAGTGTTAGTCAAGTGTTTGCACAGACCTACCACTGCTCGTGATTGAGATGTAGTGCCCACACAAACAGTCGGTGTGTTTTTGTGCACATGTCGTCTAAATTGGATTTTAAATTTCATGAAAATATTATATTATATTTGTTTTGCAACTTTTTTATTAGTAATTTTAAATATTATTCAACATTTAAGTCAATATAATTATGATTTGTTATGAATTACTATTTATATAATATTTTTGTAAAATAATATAATATTATATTGTAATATTAATACAATTTGCAATCACCTTGCGCATATATGTAATATACTGTTTAGCATAACAACAGCACTAAAGCAAAGAATTTTACAGCATTTATAATGAGGTCAAGTGTTTATATCGTAGAGTTTGGTGTTTATTACACACACAGAATATTCTGCACTATTTATATATATAATAGCGTTTGTTTTCAGTCAATAGACTGTATGTGTGTTTGCAATGCAATTGTCTCCCATTTTTCGCACTCATCAGTCGCTGTATGTAAACGAGCGATACATTTGTGGTCTAAAAATAAATCGATTTAAAGGTTGAAAAGTTTTGTGAAAGAAAAGTCTTTTGTGTTAATATATCGCTAATAATTGTTATTTATTATATTAACACCACTTGTGTTATACTCTCTCTCTCTCTCTCTCTCTCTCTCTTCACATTTAATCAAGAATTGAGTTTTATTTGTACCCGAAATAGGAAATAAAGAGAAGGAAAGACAGAAAGAGAGGTCAATACATGTATGTATGAAATAATGGTACAAATATAAGTCACACACAATTGAATAGTTGTCTATAAAATAGTGTATTATATGAGAGATAGAGATGTGATATAATGAGTGAACAATCGATTTGACAGTCGATTCGCGTGTTTGATATCCAATCGATTATATCCGAGAGATAGCGAGTAAAATGCACACAAAAAACGGATCCATCACTCAGTAGAGAGAGAGAGAGAGAGAGAGAGAGAGAGAGAGACCTGTACCTAAAAAACAAGAGTATTTAATATTATTGAATATAACAACCCATTTACTGATCATATCTTATACAAATACACGATTAAAATCTAGAGTACATATAAGCTTGTGTTTAAGAATATTCGTGGGCTATAAGTGAAAGTAAATTATGTCTAAAGTATGGAAACACCACTTTATAGTCGCCTTAAGTCCTGACCCAACCATTGATCAAAATCTATTGACAACAAAATAGACGACCCTTTATACTGTATTATTATCTATATTTTTGTTTTTTTCAATTCATTTAAACACAAAGAATATTCTGTAGAAATCAAAAGCAATAATAACTCGTATATAAAAACAGTACCAAAAAATCAATTCTTTCAGATATTCTTGAGATTAGATTAGAAACGGGAATAAAATACTCTGTTTTTTCTAATAATAGATATTTTATCGACAGTTTTGTCAATCGGCAGACAATACACACGAATCGTATTTGTATTTTAAAACTACTTTATTGTGTTTATAAAAAACTATTGAATAATACATTGTTTTTGAAAGTTGTTAGAAGTTTTATTCCCTTTAAAAAATCATTTTCAATTCAGACAAATTTAAATGTCAATAAAACACTTCACATTTTATAATACCAAAGTTGTTTATTCAGAATAAGTTGTAACACTTAAATAATGTTAAAGTAATTTTAATAAAGATGTGTTTTTAAAACTTTAATACTTTGTTTTGTAATAAATATTGTTTTTAAAATATGATATATAATTTATATAATTCAAAAAGGATTATTTGCGTTAAGTGTTATGTTGTGTAATTATATCAAATAAATTAATAATTTATATACAAGTACTGTAAATTTTTAGTTTGATTAAAAGTAATACAAACTCTATAAAATAATCATGCTTAAAAATTTAATTTATTTTTATAAGCATTTGTTTTCAATTTAAATGGTATTTGGGTTTGAAGTACTGTAATAACTCTATAGCTAACTATTGTGTATAATAATTGAGAACTTTATGTATATTTTCTTTAAAAATAATGTAAAAAATGTTTTGTTAATCAAATTAAGCATTCAGTTGATGAGCACCGGTATATAAAACTGGAATTCAGGTTAACTGCACAATATTAGAGATAAGGGACTGGCAAATGGTATCAAAAATAGTGAAAGTTTATTATTTTTTGTTACACAGAATAAATTGTTTCTTAAGTCATGAATTGAATGAAAAAATTTTGTTTTGTTTTGTAATGAACTCTAAATTATATGACAATAACATAAAAATATAAATACTATTAGGAGGGAGAGAGTGAGAGAGACTTTTGTATTTATTAAAAATATTAGTTTATGGTTTAGTTCATTGGGTAAATATTAACTCATAAACATTTAGTAAGTTTTTAATTATAGAGATTCTACACAAACGTTATTATTATTTAAACATGTTTTCATTATAACTCCCTTCCCCATCCCTGGCCTCCCTTTCCTTCATCACATGTATTCACTAATGAATGGATAGTTAGTCCGTGTATTGAGTGGTATGATTGGCTACACCAGTGATTCCGGTAATTTAATTACACCATTGATTGCAAACTCAAACAAATCGTTAGTAGATTTTTGTGTCTCTTTTTCGTATACTTTTGTCGCAAACTTTTATTTTTACTCTTAATTAGAGTTTTATTTACTGTTATGTGAAATGACATTTTTCATTTTATTTCTATAATTGACATCATTTTAATTACGAATTAATAGCCAATGTATTGAACAGTTTTTAAGTTGAAAGGTTATATTATTTATTTTAATTAGCTATGAGATTATGCTAACATTGGGTTTTAGTTTATATAATAATATACTTGTATATAATAGTATATAATTGTAACTAAACTAACTTTGTCAATATAAAACCTGTTATGTTTCAAAGTCAAAAATAATTCATATAGAAATCATTTTAAATCTTAAAATTTAAACAAATTAATATAACTAATTAATAATACAATACAAAGATTTTAAATATTTAAAACAAATACATTTAATACAAATAAATTTTACATATTTTTAAAATCTTATTCAGTAATGTATAATATAACTGATTTTTTGGTGGTGAATGTTAATGAAATCTTATGTAATAAAATCATATAACGAATATACACACTATTATATAATATAAATATTGATATATTAAGTGAATAATATTTGTGCCTCAAAACATGTATGAAATGATTTATACACTATTTATAGAGCAAATAGAGGGCCAAAACGTGAGTCCATTAAATATTTTCACGCACCAAATCCATAGCACCGGTACTACCGGCAGGGAGTGGTAGTCGGCTACCAGTCCTTTACTGACTACTTGAGTGAGTGGATAGGGAGAGAAATATAAGAAATAAATACAAATATCAATCACATAAACATAAAACATAGAGAATTCAAACAATTTTTTTCGTTGCTTTCAATTCCTGACGAGAATTATTTGAAAAGAGGTTTTCATTCATTTAATTCATGCAATCATTCATTCAAATCAAAAACGAAAAGTTCCGCAAAAATAAGAGAAAACGAATGAATCGATTCGTAAACTGCTTTCACTGCGAGGAGAGAGAGAATATTCTGACGAACAGAATATTCTTTGTATTTCTCTATTGAATTTGCATTAATATAATCTGACAGTTAATTCAATAGAAATAAACAAAAAATATATATTTATTTAATGCTTATCAATAGACTTGTGTGCCATGAATCGTATGCTATTTTTAAAGCAAATTTATTTATAATAACAATTTTACAAGTTTTATTGAATTTAAATTTTTTTACTTTAAAATTAAATTATATTTATATATTATTTATACGATATTTTTAATTATAATAAGTAATGATAATGACGGTATTTCTGAAAATTAATTACAGTAAATTAAATTTGCAAATTTTGATTTT